GATGGACAGAAACTGGAAGGACGTGAAGATCAGGAGGAAAAGGAGGAAGGTACAAGACCTGTTGTAGAGAAAACCTGAAGCTGCAACTCAAAATGTTTCAGATGAAAAGATTCAACGTTCACTCCTCCTGACGTTTGGCACTTCCTGTCTTTGTTGTCTGTTTTTCAGTTTGTAAACAAACGAAGGCGCTCGATGAGCCCCGAGCGAAGAGGTCTCGCTCTCTGTCTCCTCGCGGCACCGCCAACTTCAAACTGCCGCCGTTCGACCCCGCCCGGCCCCTCGGTGAGGAAGAAACGTAGATTTTGTTTTTCTCTCGACGTCTTCGTGGTCCGATGAGTTCTGTTCAGCCCAGTTCGTGTTCTGATCCGACCTGAAAACTTCTATTATTAAGAGTTGGCACAGAAAATATTAATTTAATTAAATTAACCGTTGAAGACGAGCTGTCGTTGAATGTTCCGGGTTAGACCTGTCGCGATAAACAATAAATCAATTAATCACGATAAATGAAAATTATCGACCTCGTTTTCATTTATCGTCTTTATCGTTTCTTCGTCTCTTTCTACTGAAGACGCTGGACGACAAACGGCTCAACTCCGGTGCTCTTCACTGACCCCTTGTTTTAACGTCTAAAATCACAGTTTTGGATCGTTAAAATCAGAGAAGCTAAGCTATGAGCTAAGCTAACAGGCCGGCCTCGTGGAAAAAAACCTTCGTCTTGTCGAAGCTCCAAATTTCACGGTTGAAACTCGTGCCTTCATCTAAAAAGTTTTTTTCGCTGAAAAAAGAAGCTGAGAACTTGTTTACTGATTTTTTATTAAAAGCTTTGTGTGAAAAATGCTAAAGAGCTCAAATCAACAAGCGTCCGCCATTTTGAAAACCGAAGAGAGACAGCCCATGTCACGTCAAGGGGCCTCCCTCCCATTGTTCTTAAAGAAACACGCTGCTCACTCCCTCACTATCCATCCTCCAGTTCATACAGTGATCAAAAAAATGTACTACACACAAAAATTAACCAACATTTCTTTTTTACTTTGACAATAAATATTATTTATTGTCAAATTTCAAACAATATTATCATTTATCGCGATAATTTTTGAGACAAATAATCGCCCAGCGAATGTTATCGTGACAGGCCTAGTTCCGGTTCAAAAGTTTTAAATTTTCAGAAGAGACGTACTTTCTTCAGCGGTAAATAATCCTTTAGGAGGAAAGCCGAAGGTTTGAGTCCAGAGTCACCCGCTGCTGACCGGCGTCAGCAATGTTCTTACCTGAGGTTTTCTGTTAGCAAAATATTTAACAAACCACTGGATAACGTGTCGTCATTGGATACAAAACTCTACAAACTGAACTTCAGACCTTTCCCTACGGGCTCAGCTCGTTCTTTTGACCGACCCGGCTGAGGTTCCAGGCGAGCCGATAAGTTCAGGTCAGGGCGCCCCGTCACCGGATGAGTCCGCTTCGGTACCGCCATTTTCTTCTCTGGCTCACTTACCTTGTGTCGGACAGACCGAGCGCCGGGCGCGCCGTGACCTCGACGTCCTCCATCGTTCTGGGTCGATCCCGCCCACATCGAGGAGGCACACGGTAGTTTGAAGACCCTGAATGTGGGTGAGGCGGCTCGCTCTCTGTTCCACAACTGAACAATGGCTTTAGAGCCAACCTGATTTCAAGATGGCCGCCGCAGCCAACTGATGTCCAACTGTCCAGACGCTGCGACTCGACCGTGTCACAAACTCCCAGGTTCAAGCTGCGACTCGTCGTTTTTCAACGCGGGGGGACGTGAGGTGGCGGGCGACACGCGATCACCGAGAACAAGAACGACTCGGTGACTGAACCGGTGTCGCGCCGACCCGTTCGGCGCACCTCGCTCCGTCCGGTAACCCGGTTCTGTTTGTTCTGTCCAGGTGAGGAGTTCACGGTTCGTAAGTGGGGGTTCTTCTGTAGACTCTGCTCTGTGTTCTACCTTAACGAGAGCTCCGACGACGACCCCCACTGCTGCAGCGAGGCGCACTACACCAACCTGCAGGTGAGTCCGAACAGCCGACCCGCGGTACCGAACCCGCTCGGCTTCTAACGGGTCGTTTGTCTGGTTTGTAGAAACATTACCAGCAGCTCCAGCAGGAACCTTCAGGAACATCAGGCTCCATTTCAGAGTGACTTCAACGGTCTGCTGGTTCTGGACCACTGGGTGGAAATGTGCAGGCTGCCCAAGGGACTATGGGAAATGTAGTTTTCTTTCATTCATTGTAGTTAGTATGACGATTAAAACCTTCTGACCAAAGCTTTGGGTGTTTTTTTTTTAATTATCCGGTAAACGATCTTTGCTGCTCGGAGTCCTTTGTCCTCTTCACTCCTCCAGAGTTCCTGGTCGGCCCCGGGGTCTCCTCCTCCTGGGACACGCCCAGAAATCTCCAGAAGGAGGTGCCCAGGACCCAACTGGGTCGTTATAATTCATGGTTGATCTTACGGGATTAACGACAAAATAAATTGGAACAATAGAAACTTTCTCAAATATTTTATTTTCAAAAATATTTAGTCGGTTAAAAAAAAAAAAAGCTTGAATTTTGGAGTCTTAAAACCAAAAAGTTAAAATATATATATATTTGATATTTTGATTTCTGGGTGAGAAAACTCAATGAGCTAGTTGAGGATTATTCAAGTGGTGGCTCAGGGGCCACATTCGGCCCGTGAGTGAGCTCAGCCCGGCCCACCGGGAGCTAAAGATATAACTTAAAGTTAAACTAAATTATAAATTAGATTTCATGACAGAAGTATCCGGATGTCCAGCCCTGAGCGGTTTAGTATTTAGTCCCACACAGTAAACTACATGTACTCTGTGTATTTATATACAGTCATTTATACAAACAGACTTGATAATAAAAAGTTAGTTCTTTAAAGCTGTGGAAGCTCGTTCTGTCTTGTAACCCTGAGGTTGCGAGTTCGAGCCCAGGTTTCATGAGAAGGGCTGCGGCGACCCCTGCAGGAGGGAGCGGCAGAAATAAAAACCGCTGAGTGGCGGATCAGTTGGTTTGTATTTTGGTCCGTTACATATTCATCATTTTTCTTACATGAAAGAAACCAGAACCCCGTTTTATTTCCAGGTAAAACACGACGGTCTAAGTAAAAGTGAAGCCGTTCCAGTGGAAACAGAACCTTCTCCAGAGGAGGATCTACCGAGACCCTGAAACGAACCCAAACTTTATAAAGCACCGTCCCGCGCCGAGAGAGCAGCTTCGCCAAAATATGAAGTCTAGTCGGCCTCAAATGAATTATTTTTATTTTTATATAAACACTTCCTGGTCTAGCAGCACTTGTTTTAATGAGCGCTGTCGGTTTTATCTGGCTGCTGCCTTGCATGAATTATGGGCGTGACTTCCGGTGCGGACCAGAACCGGCGTTTGTTCCCGTTTGAACAGTACGAGCTAATGTAGTTTCTCCGAGCATTGCGGATTTAATTTAAACGTAGGAACACCACCTGTCAGAGCTCCAACAGGACAATAGATTACAGGTGCTGGTCATAAAATTAGAACATCATGAAAAAGTTGATTTATTTCAATAATTCCATTCAAAACGTGAAACTTGTATATTATGTCCATTCATTACACACAGACTGATATATTTCAAATGTTTATTTCTTTTAATGTTTATAACAGACAACTAATGAAAACCCCAAATTCAGTATCTCAGAAAATTAGAATATTGTGAAAAGGTTCAATATTGAAGACACCTGGTGCCACAGTCTAATCAGCTGATTAACTCACCTGCAAAGTCCTTTAAATGGTCTCAGTCTAGTTCTGCAGCTACACAATCATTGGAAAGACTGCTGACTTGACAGTTGTCCAAAAGATGACCACTGACACCTTGCACAAGGAGGGCAAGACACAAAACGTCATTGCTAAAGAGGATGGCTGTTCATAGAGCTCTGTGTCCAAACACATAATAGAGAGGCAAGGAAAAAGATGTGGTAGAAAAAAAGTGTACAAGCAATAAGGATAACTGCACCCTTGAGAGGATGGTGAAACAAAACCCATTCCAGAATGTGGAGATTCACAAAGAGTGAACTACAGCTGGAGTCAGTGCTTCAAGAACCACCACGCACAGACGTAAGCAAGACAAGGGGTTCAGCTGTTGCATTCCTTGCGTCAGTTATATTCATTAGTTGTCAGTTATAATCATCAACATTGAAAGAAATAAACACTTGAAATATATCAGTCTGTGTGTAATGAATGAATATAATATACAAGTTTCACTTTTTAAATGGAATTACTGAAAAAAATCAACTTTTTCACGATGTTCTAATTTTATGACCAGCAGCTGTAAATTTAGCTACTACTTTGACTCGGTTCTTCAGACGGTGATGCGATGAACAACCTGAAAATCCTGATGCGTAGAGTGGTCGTGTTTTGTTAAGAGGTGAGACAATTATTTACTATAAATTACACAGAACCAGCCAAAGCCTTAAAAGTCCTCCATCACCGACTTTGGGTTAATTTCACAAAAAATGCAGAGGACGAACAAATACTATAAAGCTGAGACCCCCCATTCACCTGAAAACATACCTGATGTTCTCATCACACTGTTTTCAGTCCTTCTGAGGATCCGATGTCTTTTCTCTGGTGTTTATTGTCGTCCAGACAAAGTAGGACGCAGGTTTTCCTCCGCCGGCCGTTTGTCAACAAAGTGAAATGAGCTCAGAGTTCTGGGTGGTCTCTTCAAGTTCATATTTTTCCAGCCACGTTCTTGATTCCTCATCTGCAGGTAGGAGATGGAACTAGAGCTCTTTTTACAGGAACACTCTTTGTTTTGGGTCCGTGTTCAAAACTCTGTTGTTGTAGCCACTGATTTCTATTCATTGATTATTAGAAGTGCTTGTTATAAAACTGACAAGTTTTTTTCCTGCTCCGTCATCTTCCATCTCGATCAGCTAAACTGGCCGAACGTCGGCCACTGACTGGTCCAACACACAGTCCTAAAACCATTAACTATGAATTTACATCAGAATTACCTGAGATTATTTACACTCCAGGCTGTTCTTAAACATGAAATACTCTAAACCTTTATTAACCTTCATTTTGTTTATTCTGAAGGAATCAGGCACGATCCGTTTTATTACAGGAAACAAAAATGGAGGTTTTGTGTCTAAACAAACTCAAAACATCAAGTTTTTATATAAATAATTTTTTCCATCTCCGCAACAAGAATACGTTTTATTTTGACAAACTCAGGATTTTATTTTTGCATCCAAACTTAAACTCAGCACCAACTCGAATCCTGCTCAGAATTAAATAAAACTAAATAA